TCTTAAATAAATTTCGTTAATACACTCATGTTTCCTTGTTTTTTTAGTCTCTTAAATGCGTGGTAAATAAATAAACAAAACTTTTCTAATAATATTACCGTTTTGCGAGGACATAATTTGATAAAATTTTTCACTTGTTGGAAAGGTAATACGGTATAATATGATGGGAGATATGTTTTTCTTAAATCAGTATATAACTTGCAAAACAAAAGAAAATGAATCTATATCATCTTCGATGCTACCATCATGACATCAAATAATAACCATCAAATAATAACTAGTACGAAAACAAATTTACAAATCAACTGAGTCGATTAAGTTAACAAGTAAGGTACTGTACCGGTACAGGGCTGAAATGTAAAATGACACTGTCGCGAAGAACTGGTAAGGATTCACCCTTTTAACGTTGATAGTCCTAATCTTCACGATATTCAAAGACAACGAGATTTTTTTTGTAGGAAACCTCACATTTAAGAATGCCAGGTATTATATATCTTGGTATCTTTATTCACATCAATACGAAATATATAGGCCTACATAAAATAATTTATTGCAGTTGAGAAACTGAATTACGAAGTTAAGTTGTTAAAATATTAAACTATTAATTTAAATATTACAAATTACAGGACCTAGGCCTACACAAAAGAATCTGAATTATCGCAAAAAAATACAAAGGATGTTATGTATATTTATTTTAAAGCCTTACATAGATCATATTAAGGTTAAAGATTTGTTTTGGTAAGATTTATTGTTGTAAGATCAGTGTTTTTCTGATAATATCAGTACTCATTTACAAATTCTTACCCATTTTCATGTTCCTTGTGTCAATTATCTCAGTGGTCACGTACATAGTTATATTCACAGATTATAAAAGGCAGGACTCTGAGACAGTAACTTTGATGTAATTTATTCAACACAAGCTTTCGCTGGCAGTCAATGCCAGCTGGCATTGACTGCCAGCGAAAGCTTGTGTTGAATAAATTACATCAAAGTTAGTCTCAGAGTGCTGCCTTTTATAATCTGTGTATATTGTTTAGACTAACACGGCTTCATTACAACTTTTATAGTTATATTCATATTCCCATGTTTTCTAAGTGTAATCGGGACTCGGTAAAATTCAGATACAAGTGTTTGGAGTATATTGATGGTACACTTGTCAATTTTGATCCAAGTAATATGTGTTATATAGACTTTTCTCAGAATATTGGTGACGATGTTTACCATAGAACACACTAAATAAAACGTTCGCTAATGATATTTAAGCCATTATGAATTGTAAACCGCCAACGATTGTGGTTCGAAAAGTAGTGGTGACACTTAATGGACACATTATTTATAAGTGTTTTAAATATGGTATAAATGCATAAACATCACATGTACATATATGTTGCCCCTCTTCATATTTGGACCAGTTGAGTTCTGACTCACAGCTGATTTATTTTAAATTACAAACAAATGTCATTCATTATGCCTCATTTTTCGATATTCACGCTCGGCTAATTTTAATATCTTAATCCGTCTTTTACCCCTAGACCCGACGGTGTAACAGTTCAGCATTTAAAGCATTCCCTGAATGTTCTTTACTGGCACTTTCACTATTTTAAAACTGTATCATACCTTCAAGAAATAATCCTAGTTCCAATCTCAAGAAACCCAGTGTTGATCCCACATATCATATCCAAACTCATAGAATTATTTCTCGAGTCTTGCTCTAACATTGAGCCTGGCGCAGCACAGCATAGTGCTTACTAGTTGCAGTACAACTTTCTCTGTTGGAAAGTTTTTTAGCTGCTTTCCTGTGAAGTCAGCTGTTAGGTTATCAAACCACTCTTTTGACGGACATTAAAATCGACTAAAAACATTAAAGAACGTGCACCTAATTGGTGCAGTTTAAAAACTGCTTGTTTATTAAGATAATAAAAATAGTAAATTGTATTTCTTTTTGAGTAATTTTAAAAGTGGAAATCACATAAAGCATTCTCTACTGTCGTCTAAAACAAATTTTACCGTTAATAAAATAGACGATAGACAATATAGTTTCAATAAACACGAAGAGTTTATAATAATTGTTAAGGAAGAACATTTGGAAAATGTAAGCTAATGGAAATATCATGAGTAAAACATTAGCTTGTCCAACATTTGCTGTGGAAGATGACAACCACTACTTTCCTCTGAGAAGTAAAGCATTGCAAATGGAACAGATGTTGGAAAACTAACGCCGAGGTACCTGCGTGTACACGGTAGTGATGGCGGAGTCATCTCAAAAGCGGGGGCGCGCGTATGCCATTTTCGTGACTTCTGAAGAGGAAATGGAGGAAAAAAGAAAAAAAAAAGACTGAAAA